ACAGAAGGTAAGGGGGATGCTCAAAAGAACGGCCCTTGTTTCGCCAACCAACAAATATCCCACCAACAGCAGACTCTCAGGGACAGACAATCCCAGAAAAAGACAGGAAGAACGCAGGCAGGAACCCTGGAATGACTGAAGGAGAGGACGTATTGCTGGGGCAGCTTGGCACTTAGGAAGAATGACATGGGGGACCAGCAGTTAGCGTAATGGCTATGTCGCTGAACTCCCATGTAGTCGTACGCGGTTCCAGTCCCAGACCCAGTGGCTTAAAACTCATGCCAGGCGCGTGTGCATGCGTGCCCAAGATCCTGAGAGGAGAATGGAGGAGAAGGGATTGCGGCGTGGCTATCCCCCCTGGGGGGTGATTTCTCGCTTTCTGTCTCTCTGTCTCTCTGTCTGTCTGGCGAGCGCATGCGCCCTATAGCAAAAACTTCTCTGAAAAAAAAAGAAGAATGACATGGGACTATTTTGTGCTACATGGGACTGCAGTGTTCCACACTTGGAGATGGATTCCTCCTACCTGTACAACCTCAAATACCTCAACTGAGGCAAGGACAGCCTCCTGAGGGGGAAAGGAGGAATGCACCCCACACTTTTTCTCACCTTTGCAGCCTGCTTCCATTGCTCGACCATGGTTAGGGTCACAGAGGCAGAATCCTTCTTTCCCTTCAGTCCACTGGCAGCTCTGCCTCCAGTCTCCCCATCTTCTGGTCCATCTTCCTCCTCACTTGCTTCCTACACCAGTCATAGAAGGGGCAAGCTGTAGAAGTAACAGGTGTCCGCCCCTCCCCCAGCTCCACCCAGGCCCTCACCTCCAGTGTGTCTGGCAGGGAGTGGAACTCTTCTTCTTCATCTTCAGAACTATCTGAGTCACTGAAGTTCAGCAGACTCTGGTCATTCTCCTGTAGAAACTTGTAAAATTCAGGGTCTTTCTCCTTCAGCCGAGAGAGCTGGTCCTTGTGCTCAGAGGCACGGCCTTTACGCCGGCTAAGAAGGCAGGGATCAGTGAGCCAATGAGGGGAGGTCCTTGTTTCCCCCTCACTTTGCCGGCTTGCTGTCCTCCTCAAAGAAGCTACAATAGTTAAGCTGCTTCTTAATAACTACCAACAACCAAGGAAAGGCTATTCCGGGTGATAAACCATTTATCTTCTCAACTCCAGACATATGTACCAACAGCCTCTCTATCCTGATTCACCACGTGCATCTCAAACCCAACACATACAACACCCAACTGTGGTTGCCTCCCCAGACCGGCCGTGCCTACACCACTGCCTCCCTCAGTTATTGGTAACTTCATATTCTCAGGGGCTCAGGTGAAAGGCAAACCTTTCTCTTTCATACACCATTGTACAACCTGTCATCACGTCTCATTGGTAATACCTTCAAGAAATCACTGAAGCCTCCTCTCAAATTCCAAATTACCATAATGGCCTCTCCTTATTTCAACCCTTTCCACCTACTACCTGTTCTCAGTTCAACAACCACAGGGGCTCTCTGTGTTTTGGGTCCCGTTGGGTCACTTTACTGTTCAAACCCCAAGGTAACTTCCTGTTGTTTTTTGGGGGGGAGATATATTTTGCTATAAGGCACATGCTTTCCCCAGAGAGACAGAAAGCGAGAAATCACCCCCCAGGGGTGATGACCACACCACAATCCCTTCTCCTCCATTCTCCTCTTGGGACTTCAGGCAAACTCACGCACCTGCCATGAGTCTTAAGCCACCAGGTCCAGGACTCGAACTACAGTTGATTACATGGGAGTCCAATGATGTAACCATTACACCATCTGCTGGTCCCAGTAATTTCCTGTTTTATCATAAAATTTCATGATGGTGTACAAGACTTGGCCCCTCATTGTCATTCTGGGTTCATCTACTGCTTTCCTTCTGTACTCCTTCAAGTCACTCACACACACTATATTATCCTCAAACTCTCCCACTTTAGGGCTTTTGCTGTTCCTACCACCTCAAACACTAGAAAACACCCTTTTCTTGTCTGCATGCTTACTCCTCAGGGTCTATTCTAACAACACTTTCTCAAATCGTCTCCATTCCTCCCCCCCTTTTTTTGAGATTTTTGCTCTAGGGCGCATGTGCTCGACAGAGACACAGAAAGCCAGAAATCACCACTACCCCCCAGCAGGGATGGCCACCCCCTATTCTCCTCTAGGGATTTTGGGCACAGACGCACATGTGCAGGGTGTGAGTTTTAAGACGCCAAGAGGGAGTCCAGCGATGTAATCATTGTCATCTGCTGGTCCCATGCCTTTAAATAAAGTAACAAGAATTCCTTGCAACACTCTACTCTTGTTTCCTTCCCATCTATGGTCCTTACCTTCTCTAACGCGCTACACGTTGTGATTTACCCACAACGCAACGAGCTTCCTTAGATCGGAAAAAGGCTTTTGCCACCGTTCCCGAATGTGGTACACCCACCACCTAATAGGCTCGGCACAGCGCAGACTCCTTTAAACAAAGTAACAAGAATTCCTTGCAACACTCTACTCTTGTTTCCTTCCCATCTATGGTCCTTACCTTCTCTAACGCGCTACACGTTGTGATTTACCCACAACGCAACGAGCTTCCTTAGATCGGAAAAAGGCTTTTGCCACCGTTCCCGAATGTGGTACACCCACCACCTAATAGGCTCGGCACAGCGCAGACTCAGTTAATACCAGCTGAACGAAAGACTTAAGCTGAAGGGAGGCGTAGAAATCAGAGGTCTCCAAGTCTTAGAGGTCCTGAGGCCCCATGAGATCCTCATCCTTGCGGGAGACCGGGCCAGGGCGACACACGTCCCTGGAGCAGAGATGCCTTGCTCACCTGCCCGAGGGGTTCTCGCCTGGTCCCTCTGGGATCCGGGCAGCTCTGTGCGTGTCCTGCGTCTTCGCCTCCCGGGCGCCTTCGGGTTCCGACTCCGAGTCGGAATCAAATCCCGACGCCAGGAACTCATCCACGGTCAATTCTGCCAGGCGCCTGCGGATCACGTCGGAATCACGGCTCCCCACCAGCCTGACTCGCCCCAGCCTTGCTGTCCCCAGCAATACTGAGAGGAGCCAGAAGAACCCCCCTGGATGCAGTGACCCACGGAAGTCCGAATAGGCCCTCAGTCTTCCAACTCACCTTTTACGGCTCCCCCCCGCCCCCCACAACGTGTACTCCACTTCCGGCCCCAGAATGCCATGCCATTGCCGCACTTCCTCGGGGCCGGCCCCGCCCCCGGCTCCGCCTTCCACCGCCGAGTGGCTTTACGTTTCTTCGAACTTGGAACCAATGATCTCCGGGCGGGAGGGCGCTTTCGCATCTCCAGCTTGCAGGCTGCTAGGCGCCCTGGCTCCTAGCGCTGAAAAGTCCAACGCTGCCACGGCCTCCGCTTGCTTTAGCTGAGTGCGTGGCGGATCTTCCCGGGCTGAGATTTCTTTTCTTTTTTTTGACAGGTTTTTGCTATAGGGCGCCAGAAAGACAGAGAGATAGACAGAGAAAGAAAGCGAGAAATCACCCCTCATCCCCACCCCGGGGGGGGGGTTGGGAGGGGGGGGGGTGGGCCCGCCTCCTCCCTTCTCCTCCATTCTCCTCTCGGGATCTTGGGCACGCACGCACACTGCACCTGGCGTGTGTTTAAGCCACCAGGTCCAAAACTGGAAGCGCGGGGGACTACACGGGAGTCCAACCACGTAGCCATTACGCCATCTGCTGGTTCCCCCTGGGATTTTGACGTGCTACTCATGAGCTGTTCCCTGCTCCATATGACCCACCAGGAAACATGCGAGGCCAAGAGTGTCCCGCCCTAGGACCGTACACGGACAGCAGAACGTGCGACAGGGAAAACTTTTTTCAAAAGTATTTTATTTAACTTTATCTATTTTATTTTTTTTAAATAAAGCTGTGAATGTAGCTTTATTTTTTATTTTTAAATTTTATTTATTCATTCATTTATTTTAATTTGACCAGAGAGTTCATTTATTTTAATTTGACCAGAGAGAGACACAGAGAGACAAAGAGAGAGAGGGGGAAAGTGAGAAAGCAAGCTGCCAGGTCCAGGACTTGAACCATGGGTCATCCATGTGGGAGTGTCCAGCACCTTAACCACCACACCACCTGCTGGTCCTATTATCTATTTATTTTAATTTGACCAGAGAGGGACAGAGTGAGCAAGCGAGAGAGAAAGTGAGAAAGCAAGTCGCCAGGTCCAGGACTTGAACCGTGCTTGGCCATATGAGAGTCCAAGCACCCTTAACCACCACACCACCTGCCCACCTGCGACAGGGAAGACTTCTATGTAAAGAGTTCTTGCAAATCAACAATTAAAAGCCAAGGAGATAGTGGGAAGAACAAAGGAAAACAGAAATGACATAGACAGGCAGTTTGCTGGAAAAGGCTAGGCTTTTTCCCCCTTGATCCAGCGGGACCGAATGAGATAGTGTCCATCTTGGCTGACGGTCCTAGACACCTGGTGCAGACCCCAGCACTGCTCTGGAAGCGAGTGTGGCCTTATTCACCTGAAAGTACAATACCAGCTACTTCCATCCCGCCAGTGGGAATTCACTAGACTGCATCTGCCTGAAGTCCACAACAGCAGGACGGGGTGGGGAGAACTATTTCTCCTCCCTATCTGTTAAGATAGCAGGCAGGTACAAAGGCCTGGGACCCCACTCGCCTGAGACTCCACAACAAAGGACTCTGCAAACCCTGGAGCCTGGGAGGCTCTGAAGCTGCGCACTCCCTGAAGCGACCATGGCCCATTGCAAGGCCTGGTTCTTGAAGGGGAGCGTGGAGGGAACCCTTAGTACAAACGGGCAAAGTGGTCTGTCCCAGGAGCCTCGGGCGGGAACACATGTGACCTCTTCGGGACCCAGGCGTTCCAGGAGGTGTGTGAGTTGGGGAGGGGTTGGGGAGAGAATGGTAGCTTCTTGGAGAAAGAAGCGGGCGGGGCCTAGGAGAGAGAGGCGGGACCGTGCCTCTAGACAGGGAGGATCCTCGTCCTACGTTTGGTCCCCGAAGCCTCCCGAGAGCACGGGAGGCGGGGCGCGCGGAGC